CCCCGGGCCCGGCGGCTTCCCAGGTGCCCGGGGGGTAATCTTCCCTCAGACTGCTCTTGTGCAGACGTATCCACCACACTTGGTGCGGCAGCACTTGTGCGTCCGGAAGCACTGCACATCCGAACGGCACCTGACCGCACAGCCGCTCAGGACACTGGGCCGTGGACAAGAGCCGGGGTTCCCTGCAGCACAGAACAACCCCCGGCTGTCACACCCCTTGTCTGTTCCCAGGGACACCAGCCCAGCCCTGCCAGCTCCCCGGGAGCCCGGGTGCGACTGGAGGTCAAGGGACCGGGCCAGGGACGAAGAGACTCCTCTGCCTCCTGCCCCCGGCATCGCGAGCTGGGCCTGGGAGCTCACCATTGGGCAGAGAGTCCAGGAAAGAAACCGTCACCGCCCGTCTGAGCAGAGCCAGCCCGGCGCCCGGGGCAGTGACCCATCCAGGGCCTGAGTGACCCTGCTCAGATAGAGCCGCATCCCCCAAGGCTCCCAGTGTGTCTGAGCCAGGGCAAACCCACAGGAGCCTGGTCTGACCCCCAGTGGTTCTCGGTCGCATGCAGACACGGCTGCACCCGGTACCCCAGCACTTTTCCCCTGGAGCACGGGACTCGTCCCCTTTCTGGCCGTTCACACACCCCCAGGTCCCTGGGCGTGGGGCAGAGCTCAGGTCTCTGCAATACAGACAGGCCCAGGCAGGAAGCCGTGTCCTAAAGCTGCCCTGACAGTGCCCCCCCTCGCTGCCCAGCTTCCGCCGAGGAGGGGCAGGGTTGGCAGCTTTTGGAGAGGTCGATGGTGCCCAGAATGCCCCCCCCCCCACCCTCCCCCCACCACAGGCTTTGGGAAGGAGTGTGGTGGGGCACAGCCTCGGGGCGCAGACACGTCCGTACGTGGGACAATAATCCCTACCAGGCTCCAGCTGCGCTGCACGACCAGCGCCCCAGAGCTGGCTTGGGTGTGTGCGAGAGCTGGGAACCACCCCCAGCTCCACGTGTGAGAGAACGTGGGCCCTCAGCTCCCCCAGCCGGCCTCCTGCCCCCCAGGCCGGGCCTAACCTCAGCTGGAGCCCATCACCCTGGACCCACCCCCTTCCTCCTCTCCTCTCCCCCAGCCTCCCTCACCTTCTCTCGGCTGGGGCAGAGGGTTCTGGTGTGGGACCGGGTGCAGGCTCCAGGTGAGGGCAGAGGGGTTCAGACTGTGGGAGGGGGCTCCAAGCAGAGGCTGGGCAGGGGGTTGGGGGACAGGTGGGGGTACAGGCTGTGGGCTCTGGAAGGGAGATCGGGGAAGGAAGGACTCAGGGCTGGGGCAGGGGTTCTGGGTGAGGCACGGGGGTTATGGTGCCAGCTCCGGGAGGGGCTCAGGCAGGGCTGAGAAAAGGGGTGAGCTTCCCTCGGGCGGTTCCCAATCCTGCCCTGGTCCCCCAGCCCCCTCAGCCCTGCGGCCCTTCTGGACTCCTACCGGCCTGACAGCGCCTAGTCTGGCTGCGGTGGCTGCTGGGGGATGGGGCCCGATGGCGGTAGACTCCTGGCAAATCCGGGAGTTGGGGCTTCCCCAGGGAGCGGCTTCCTGCCACCCGGCTGGAGGGGACGGCTGATGGGAAACTGCCCAGAGAGGGAGCAGAGCGTGCGCCAGGAGGGGCGGGAATGGCGCGGTCAGCGCGGGGCAGTTCCCGGGAGTGCGGGGAGCCCCAACAGAGCCCCCTGGTGTCCCAGCAGGATGGGACCGCGGGGAGCCCCGGGATGCTCACAGGGGTAGTTTGATTTCCAGCTGGGGGGGCGGGTCCAAACAGGCCCAGGGGTCTCTGAGTGGGAGGCAAATTCTGTCTGGGGTTGCAGGGCTGGCCCCTCTGTGGGGTCACGGCGGGGGCCTGGGGCCAGGTGCCTGTCCTGGGGCTGGGTCTTGCCCAGGGATCCGGGTCTCACCTCTGGTTATCACTCCCATGCAGACGTGGCCACACCCGTTACTGCAGCACTTTTGCCCTGGAGGACAGGACTCGTCTCCGTTGCACATCTCCACACAGATTCCCGGGCCTTTGACCGTGGGGCAGACCCCAGGTCTCCCTGCAATGCAGAGCAGGCACGAGGCCGTCAGTCTAGTGTCCTAACCCTGCCCTGGCTCCGTCCCCGCCTGGCTGCACAGCTTCTGCCTAGGACAGGCCTCTGCCCGCCTGGCGTCCTGCTCCGCAGGGAGAGACCCGGTGCCCAGAGCGTCCACCCGCCGGGCGAGACTCTGCCCCCCCGTCCCTTCCCCTGCAGCGGGACCCTGCTGCTGAGCCTGCACGAGGTGGGAGGGCTGCTGGGCTTGGCGGGTCAGCCCCTGGCCGACCTCACCCGGCACCGACAAGGAGGTGGGAGCCGTGGGCGCCCTGAGAGAGGAGGGTCACAGTGTCTAGTGGGGAGAGCCCTGCCCGGCCCCCTCTCCTCCCACCTGCACTAGCCGGGCCCCGGCCAGGAGCCCCCCTGCTCCCCAGGGCGGCTCCCCCACCCCACAGAACAGAGCCGGGCAGGGGAGGGAGCTGCC